AATGCCACAGACTCCACCCTCCAAAGCATCCACTTTCTCCAGGGGAACTTTGCTCTGTGTTCTGGAGGTGATCTGCAAATCCAAGGGATCCCCAAGTCACACCTGGAGGCTAGCATCCCTACAGAAGATTATGAGAGAATCTTTAATAATAAAATTAAGGGTAGTAAGAGACAAAGAAGAACGCAAGAAGTGATAACACCGGGGTCACTGCTAGGATGAACTGCCTTTCACTGGGAAAAGATAATGTTCAAAAGATAAGCCACCGAAAGAAAAGGAAACCAGAACGGCAATTGCTCTGTTTCTGTGCATGTGATTCCCAGTTAGGATCAGGATGGTAGCATACATGAAGAAGTGGCTCCAGCCTTCCCCTGAGCCATTTCCCCAACTTAAAACAGTCCCAGGGGGCTGCTATTTGGGGAAGCCTACATGTTCCCCCTGGAACACAACTGTGGTTCCCTAAAAAGGCCCAATAGTGCCTCCTCCTCCCAGATTGTTTCAGAGTGAGAAAATAGTGCAGGGGGGGAAGCTGAAGCCCCTTCTCCACTTGCACTGCAGTCTGGATTGCAATCAGGCACGTGCCTCCTCCTCCCAGATTGTTTCAGAGGGAGAAAATAGTGCAGGGGGGGGGAGCTGAAGCCCCTTCTCCACTTGCGCTGCAGTCTGGATTGCAATCAGGCCCCACACACACAGGAATTAAGGGAAGCCACAACTTGCAATGTGTGGGGAGGGACCCAGACCTACTTTCTGTAATGTATGAAGAAGTTATTTTGATGGAGTGGCAACAGAAGTTTCCTGGTGTCAGGGATTCTGTTTCAACATATCCAGTGTCAACAGGCCTTACTTCCCTAATCCTTCCTAGTCCAAAAAGGATCCCAACAATGCAGGACAGTGCAGCAATATTTCACAAGAAGACCCATTACGGCCACCAGGGTTCCCTCTAAGGTGAGTTAGTGTGAGCCAGCTCACCGTTTTTTAGCCTCCGACTCACACATTTTTGTCTGAGCTCAGGAAGGAGGGCTCCAGAGCAAGCTAATTTATGCGGGAGCCAAATCGCTCGCTCACACCTTTAAGGCCAGTAGCTCACAAAGTAGAATTTTTGCTCACAAGACTCCACAGCTTAGAGGGAACATTGACGGCCACCATTACAGCCACTGTATTATAATATATTCCATAGACTCTGTTAATCTCAATTAACCTACCTCACAGGGTGTCTGTTGTGGGAAGGGGAAGGGAAAGGAGTTTGTAAGCCGCTCTGAGACACCTTTGGGTAGTGAAGTTGTTGTTGTTCAGTCGCACAGTCGAGTCCGACTCTTCGCGACCCCATAGACCAGCTCCCGCCAGGCCCTCCTGTCTTCCGCTGTCCTCTGAAGTTGGCTCAATTTCATGTTCGTTGCGTCGCTGACACTGTCCAACCATCTCATCCTTTGCCGTCCCCGTCTTCTTTGACCTTCAATCTTTCCCAGCATCAGGGTCTTCTCCAGTGAGTGCTCCCTTCTCATTTGGTGGCCAAAGTATTTGAGCTTCAGTTTCATTATCTGGCCTTCCAGGGAACAGTCAGGGTTGATTTCTTTGAGGATTGACTGATTTGTTCTTCTTGCAGTCCAAGGGACTCTCAAGAGTCTCCTCCAGCACCATAGTTCAAAAGAATCTATTCTTCGGCGCTCGGCCTTCCTTATAGTCCAACTCTCACAGCCATACATGACTACTGGGAATACCATTGCTTTGACCATGCGGACTTTTGTTGGCAGGGTGATGTCTCTACTTTTTATCATGCTGTTTAGGTTCGCCATCGCTTTCCTCCCAAGGAGCAGGCGTCTTTTAATTTCATGGCTGCAGTCACAGTCTGCGGTGATCTGGGATCCCAGGAACGTGAAGTCTGTCACCACTTCCACGACTTCCCCTTCTATTTGCCAAGGAGTGATGGGGCCGGATGCCATGATCTTAGTTTTTTTGATGTTGAGCTTCAAGCCCACTTTTGCGCTCTCCTCTTTTACCCTGAGCAAGAGGCTCTTGAGGTCCTCTTCACTTTCTGCCATCAGAGTGGTATCGTCTGCATATCTGAGGTTGTTGATCTTTTCCCCAGCAATCTTAATTCCCGCTTGTGATTCATCCAGGCCAGCATTTCGCATGATGTACTCTGCATATATATTAAATAAGCAAGGTGACAATATACATCCTTGTCGTACTCCTTTTCCTATGCTGAACCAATCAGTTGTTCCATATCCGGTTCTAACTGTCGCTTCTTGGCCCTTATACAGGTTTCTCAAGAGACATGTGAGGTGGTCTGGTACTCCCATCTCTTTAAGGACCTGCCATAGTTTGTTGTGATCCACACAGTCAAAAGCTTTAGCATAGTCAATGAAGCAGAAGTAGATATTTTTCTGGTACTCTCTTGCTTTCTCCATAATCCAGCGAATGTTGGCAATTTGATCTCTAGTTCCTCTACCTCTTCGAAACCCAGCTTGTACTTCTGGTAGTTCTCTATCCACGTACTGTTGAAGCCTAGCTTGTAGGATCTTGAGCATGACCTTGCTAGTGAAGGGCAGGGTATAAATCCAATCTCCTCTTCTTCTTCTCTTCAATTTAAGTGGAAGTAGTGGCTTACTCTGCACCAGACTCATTACAGCTGCTGCATCAGGTTTTGTGTTGTTGTTTTTTAAATTGCTAGAAGTACAAGATGTAGTTATTTGGTCTAACTGAACGTGCAGAGACTGTGAATGCTGTTAAGATATTTGAAAGCAGCACATCAAAAACATGAAGTCAGACATGAGATCAAAGAGAGCCTCACAAAGCAGGCAAGTGAATCAGGTAATCAGGTCATGTTTCAGGCAGGTGGAAGGAAGCACAGCAAGCAAGTTTGAAATGCAGATCACTGAAGACATAAAATACATGAATGGGGGGGGGGGATGATAGAAATGCAGTCTGCAAGGTGATCATGAACCAGACTACATCCAAGAAATTTAAAATAGAAGTAGACACAGAGTTGCAGCTTGAGATTTTTTGAGTTTCAGAGCAGAGCATCATTTCATCACCAATATATCTAATTCTGAACATTGCCCCATCTGTGGATACTTAAATCCAAGGTATATATATATATATATATATATCTGAAAAAAATACATGGGGGTTAACTCCCCCAAAATAACAGAAGCAGTGTCTGTACTTGTTAGGGGGTTTTCAAAGGCCATTGCTACCTTTAAATGTCAGTTTCAGTCAATAAAAGGCAGGGGGAGGCACCTTTCAAGAGTATCTTGGCTTTCCAGTCCACCCTGCTCCCTTCCCTTCTGACCTGGAGGGAGGACTCTTTGGGGTCAGGCATATTATCAGCTACTGGACAACTTTCTGCCATGTAGTTTGCATGATTCACCCAGGTGCAGTAGGGTTGGCTACCCGTTAACTTGTTGCAACATGACTCACCTGAGTGACTTACTACCACATGACTTTTGCAACTTGGCTACACTCTTCCCAGGGAGAAGCTGACAGAGGAGTGAAAGGGGGAAAGCTGAATGTCAGTTTGATACAGTGGTTAGCATGATAAGCCGCCCCCCCCAAAAAAATCTGGTTGATGATAATTAGCCCAGGGAGTTTGGAGATGAGGGCACATGTTAATAACCCACACTTTACCACCAATGTTGAATGGAGCTAAATCTCATTTGCACAGGCCCAGATAATTTGAATGATCCCTGTATTAATCCTAGTCTGGATCTGGCCCCATTAAGATGCAGTTCTGGAGACCACACTTCAAAAAGGATGTGAACAGAATGCAGTGGATGCAGAGGAGAGTGACGAGGATGATTGGGGGCCTGGAGACCAAGCCCTCTGGGGAAAGGCTGAGGAACTTGGGAATGTTCAGTCTGGAGAAGAGGAGGTTGAGGGAGGACATGATTGCTCTCTTGAAGTATTTGAAGAGATGTCACTTAGAGGAGGGCAGCAGAAGATAGGACTCGCAATAATGGGTTTAAATTAAGGGTGGGAAGGTACTGGCTGGATCTTAGGAAAAACGTTTTTACAGTAAGAGTTGTGCAACAATGGAACCAGCTGCCTAGGGAGGTGGTGAGCTCCCCCTCACTGGCAGTCCTTAAGCAGCGGCTGGAGAAACACTTGCCAGGGATGCTCTAGGTTGATCCTGCATTGAGCAGAGGGTTGGACTAGATGGCCTGTATGGCCCCTTCCAACTCTGTGATTCTATGCGTGGACAGCTAGTAGCATCCAAGTTAAGGCTACAACAATTGGTAGGTAGATATTTACGACAAGTTCTTGGTGTAGCATCTATTCACATATCCCATATTTGTCTCAGCACTGTCCAAATTAGTCCATAATGTGGTAATTTTATTATGCTATATTTCTACAGAAGCTCCTGCCAGCTTTTTGTTTTATTAAAATATGAGGAAAACAAGAAACTTCAGACTCAAAATACAATTTGAAGAAACTGATGTATTTTGAAGAAACTGATCAAGAAGAAATTTTGAAGAAATTGATTACAGCCTTGAACAAATCTTATTTACATAGACGTGATTAAAATTTTAAATTTTGTAACAGTATTAATAAAAAGATAAGAATTAAATGTTATTTTAACTAAAATATCCAGCACCTTCAGTTTTAAAAATATTTACATGCTTGCTATTTGCAATACACCATTCAGGAAGCTAGTAAATTTATGTGCAAATAATGAACAGCTTTATTCTACACAACTATGAAATCAGATATTTAAACTGAGTTGTCTTATAATGCTTCTTTATGTAAGCTTTTTACAGGTGTTGACATATGTCCTTGTTCTGATAAGAGCTCAAGTCAACTGAGTAGACCTATAAGTAAAAAGCTATTCCAGCATGATGAAGCCATCTGTACATTTCAAGATCATTTCCATGGTGCACATTCATCTATCTTATAATACCAGATATACCAAGAGTTATGACTACATCTGTTCAAAAGAGATCAACAGTATTCTCTCCCAAGTCAAAACAGATCTTCTGTTGTTGCATCAAGTTCTCTCTGAAGCTCTAACAATGTCCCTTGGAACTTCCATCAAAATTTGACAAACAAGAGCTAGGAACTATGGCAGGTTTGCTTGCTGCGTGGAAGGCTGTTTCATTACCTTCCTGACAAACTCCGCATGTAACAGGAACTTTGGTCTGAATAAGAAGGGAAACCATGTTACTTGTGCGTGATCACATTAAAATAACTTGTGAAAAAGCAGGCAGAAAACCACACACCTTATTTTGTTATAATATTCAGGACTATCTATACTGTGTAGGTAGGCAAAAAAGAAAAGTACTAACCAGGACCAACTCAGCTTAGTTTCCACAGTCAGGTGTATTACGATGGGAAAAACAAGTGAAAGAGTTACAGTGGACATCGTTGGCAAGTCTCGTGGATGGAAGGTGAGGTACTTCTAATGCAGTTTGCCTCCCATTATCCTGACATGCATTTGACCAATGGATAATTTTTTTAACCCCGCCTTGAACCGAACCTCAGCAAATGAAGTAGACTCTTGCCTGCAAGAGCTCCTGTCAAAAAAGGTGGGTTAGTCTTCAAGCTGCCACATATTTAACATAAGAGAAGCCAATGCTGGATCAGGCCAATGGCGCATCCAGTCCAACACTCCGTCACACAGTGGCCAAAAATACCAGGTGCTATCAGGAGGTCCAGCAGTGGGACCAGGACACTAGAAGCCCTCCCACTGTTGCCCCCCAGCACTAAGAATACGGTGCATCACTTGCCCCAGACTGAGAGTTCCTACCTATACCTTGTGGTTAATAGCCACTGATTGACCTCTACTCCATATGTTTATCCAATTCCCTCTTGAAGCTGTCCATGCTTCTAGCCGCCACCACCTCCTGTGGCAGTGAAAATCCATGTATTAAGCACTCTTTGGGTGAAGAAGTCCCATCCAGATCACAGAAGGTGGTAATTCCGCTCTATTCTGCTATGATCAGGCCTCACCTGGAGTACTGAGTCCAGTTTTGGCCACCACATTTTAGGAAGAATGTTTACAAGCTCGAGCATGTCCAGAGGAGGGCGACCAGAATGGTGAGAGGGTTGGAACCCAAGTCTTACGAGGAAAGGCTGAAAGAGTTGGGTATGTTTAACCTGGGAAAGAGAAGGCTTAGAGGGACATGACTGCAGTCTTCAAATATTTGAAGGGCTGTCATGTAGAAGATGGAGCAGATCTACTCTGTCTTGCTCCAGATTGCAAGACTAGATCTAATGGGTGGAAATTACAAGGGAGTCGTTACCGGCTAAATATTAGGAGAAACTTCCTAACTGTAAGAGTAGTTGAGCAGTGGAACAGACTGCCTCGGGAGGTGGTGGATGCTCCTTCACTGGATGTTTAAGTGGAGGCTGGATGACCATATTTCAGGTATGTTGTAGGGCTATCGTTCGGCTATGCTCCTGCAGAGTGCAGGGGGTTGGACTAGATGACCTGCAAGGTCCCTTCCAACTCTAACATTCTATGATACTATGATGCCTTTCATCTGTTCTAATCCAACTGCTCAACAATTTCATTGAGTGCCGACGAGTTCTTGTACTGTGAGAAAGGGAGAAAAGTACTTCTTTCTCTACCTGCTCTATCCCATGCATAATTTTGTAAACCTCTACTCATATCACCACTCAGTCATGGTTTATCCAAGCTAAAGAGCCCCAAGCGCTTTATCCTTTCTTCATAGGGAAAGTGTTCCAACCCTTTTATCATTCTAGTTGCACTTTTCCCAATGCTATAATATCCTTTCTGAGGTGTGGTGACCAAAACTTCACACAGTATTCCAAATGAGGTCGCACAATCGATTTATACAGGGGCATTATGATACTGGCTGGTTTGTTTTCAATTCCCTTCCTAATAATCCCCAGCATAGCGTTGGCCTTTTTTATTGCAGTTGCACGTTGTCTCGACATTTTCATTGAGTTATCTACTACGACTCCAAGATCTCTCTCTTGGTCAGTCTCTGCCAGTTTGAACCCCATCAACATGTATTTATAGTTAGGATTTTTGGACCCAATATGCATCACTTTCCACTTGGCCACATTGAACCCCATTTGCCACGTTGTTGCCCACTCGCCCATCCTCAACAGATCCCTTTGGAGCGCCTCACAATCCTCCATGGTTTTCACCACCCTGAACAATTTCATGTTATCCGCAAATTTCGCCACTTCACTGCTTACTCCCAACTCCAAATCATAAATGAACAAGTTAAAAAGCATTGGAACCAGTACTGAGCCCCACTGCTTACCACCCTCTGCTGTGAAAATTGCCCATTTATACTCTCTGTTTCCTATTAATTAGCCAGTTTTTGATCCACAAGATCCTTTTATCCCATGACTATTGAACTTACTTAGGAGCCTTTGATGAGGAACTTTATCAAAAGCTTTCTGGAAGTCAAGGTAAGGTAAACAATATCTAGTGGGTCCCCCTTGTCCACATGTTTGTTCATTCCCTCAAAGAACACGAACAGGTTAGTGAGACAAGATCTTCCCTTACAGAACCCATGCTGAGTCTGCCTCAATAGTTTTTGTTCATCAACGTGCCTACTAATTCTTTCCTTAATAACAGTTTCCACCAACTTACCCAGTATTGACATCAGGCCTGTAATTTCCTGGATCTCCCCTGGAACTCTTTTTAAAGATGGGAGTGACATTAGCTA